CATCCCCCTCTCCTCTCTGAATGCTCTGATTTCCTGATTTTCCCCCTGATTTTTGCCCTCCCCAGATCCTGAATATTCTACAGAGCAAAGGCCCAAGAGCTTGACCTGATTTACCCAATTTGTTTCCAGCCCCAGTTTGGATTTTGAGGGCACAGCCGCTCTCCGTGTCCAGGCCTCGCTGCTGCCCAGGGAGGGCAGTGCCAGCTCGTGTTCTTTTCCTGCCTGGAAATCCCAAACACCATTTTTAGCAAGGCTGTTGGTTTTATTTATTCCCCCCTGCCTGGCACAGTGTCTGGGGATGGCAGAGCAGCCMGGAGCTCTGTGCCTCCTGCCTGTTTCCTCGGGTTTAAAGTGTCTCTTCCTATCAAATGCAGAGCAGAAGAAAGCAGAGCTTTCATGCGTTCTTTTCCCCCCCTTCCTCCCCTCTTCTTCCATCCGTTCTAAATTTATTTCCATGCCTTGCCGGTTYCAATCTGCATTTCCTGACCCTCTCACATCTCCAGTGCTCCGAGCCTTCCCTGGGAGCTCGGCTTGAGCTCTGCTCAGACCTTAGGAGGAGCTGATGGGGTTAAAGTGAAAGGCTGGGTTTTAACAGTATAATGTGTAACCCCATAATGACTTTAAATATTGATTATTTGAAGGCCATTAGTGCTTATTGTTAAAGAAAAGTCGATACTTTTTAAGCCTTGCGAACCATTTGTCTCCTGTTAAAGGACATATCAAATTTAGCAGCATGCAGTGCAAATCCCCTAATACCCTGCTCGAAAACCTCCAGCTGGCATTTTAGGGGAGGGAAAAAAAGGAAAAAAAAAGGGGGCTGGGGGAGGAATGTGCAGCAGCACAGAATTGCTCTGTGCAAGGTAAGGGCAAGGTTTATCAGATGGAATTGCCAGGGGCTAAATTCACCTTCYCGGGGTAGGGGAGCTGAGTTGTGACTCAGAACCACGCAGGAAGAGGAGGAAGGGATTTAATAGGGGGGATTCAATGTTGGTACCTGGAGAGGAG